TGGGCTTGGGGTTAGTCGGCGACTAGAGAGGTGCGAATTGTAGAATATTCGGACTATCGGTACCGAAATAACCAGCATGTGATGAAGGCTTAAATAAAGTATTATAATGAATACCCCACCATCATCCTGATGTTCTATTGTTCATTACTTCCGGAAAAAATAAATAGATATCAATACCATAACGCATTTTATCAAAATATGGAGAAAGGTGTTTTAAAGTAAAAATGATAGTTGTTTCGCGCCTTTAGTGAACTAGTGAATTTTCCTAACCTGCTTTTCAGAAATACATTCTAATAAACTTTCTTGCAAGGTCAACTAACACAAGGATGAATAAGTCCAGCTGTAAAGATGATAGTGGGAAGTCAACGATGTTGACAGTTCACGGTACCCTGTTATAGAAAGAGATAACTATAGCAGTTAAAGGTGACCGTGAGTTCGTCTGTGTGTGTGCGTGTGTGCATGCGCGCCCGTGTGTGCGACCAAAACAGTTGAAACCCAAAAGTTAAACAAATACGCCCCACATTTATAAGCCGCCAAACGCGTCATACTGCTAAACACAAACGTGTAACATGTTAAGGAGCTAAGCATGTTAGGAGCTAAACGCGTCGAAAAAGTGAGACAAAACAGGCGCTTAGAAATGTGTTTAGGAGCTAAACACTGTTTTTACAGTGTATGGTTAAGCTGTTTTTTCATGTTTTTTTTTTACTGTAATAAAGTAATTTGGTGATGCTATATTCTTTAAAAAAAGTACTTATGTGGTTATGCTGTTTTTAATAATATTTAACTGTAATGAAAAAAAATTATGATGCTATTTTGTTAAGTATTTTTGGTGGGATAAAATAATTTGGTAGTTCCATTTCTTGCAAATAATTTGGTTTTGCTGCTTTTTTAATGAATTTCCAAAGTGATGAAGTATTTTGGTGGTTCTATTCCAGTAAAATAATTCAGAAATGCTATTTTGTAAAAAGAACAAAAAACTGTGTTCACTCGTTTGCTTACTTTATATATTATTTCTTAAACTGTTACAAAAAGTTTTCCAAACCTGCAGTATTCCATTGGCTGAGAAAATTCCAGCTATACATTCAGAAAAGTTGGTGCAGAAATAAATTACACATAGTTTCATGATTCTTACTATGGACTGAATAATTATTTTTAAATAAAATATTTGGTTTTGCTGCTTTTTTTAATGAAATTTCAAAGTGATGAAATAATATGGTGGTTTTATTCAAGTAAAAAAATTCAGAAGTGCTATCTTGTAAAAAGAACAAAAAACTGTGTGCATTTGTAAAATGTTTACTTTATATTTTATTTCTCAAACTGTAACAAAAAGTTTTCCAAACCTGCAGTATTCAACTGGCTGAGAAATTGCAGCTATAGGCCTAAATTCAGGAAAGTTGGTGAACAAATAAATTATTTAACTATTACATAGTTTCATGATTCTTATTGTGGACTGAATAATTATTTTAAGTGATTATTTTATTTAACATCACCTGTCAACCTCATTTAATCAATACAAAAGGATATCACTTAATAATACAACCTTATGCAGGTAGTACCGGTACTTATGCATATTTACTGACAATATCTCTTCTGAAATTGGACATAAGAAAACGCACTTTGATAATCATACCTCCTAGGGGCACTTTCTCGCTATGGAGCTCTCTTTTCAAAATTTTTAAAGTTACCTTTCTACGTGTGATCTTTTTGAGGCAACTCCTATATCTCTAATTACTGTGCCTGAGGCAAGTTGTGACTGGCCCTTTAACATGGAAGGTGTGTTGACATGACCCCTCAACTTCAAACGAAGCCCCGAATCTTCAGAAAAATTCTCCTATAAAAGATGTAGAGAGAGACCCGGGTATACTGTGAGGAGAAAGCTCCTGCCTGCGTTCAAGACTTGTAGTCCTTGTTAGTGAGGAATTAAGATAAAAAACTTTCTTGTTTTTTTTTGTTTTTTTTCCCTTTGCACGAGAAATCCCACTAAGCCATCCGGTTACAAACCATTTGGCGGGAGGGGGGATGCGCTGAGCGCCTGATGAGTTGCGGATAAGTTCTGTTTTCACTGCGTTATATCTAAGATCTAATAAACGGATATATATATGGTATATTAGATCTTAGGTTATATGCAACGATCTGCCTTACAGATGTAGCACTATCATTTGCATGGGGACAGCACCCTTAGTTTTTTTTTCTGTATCGACCCTACATTTTTCAGTGACTGTGTTCCAACAAGAATATTATACATACGTATGTAACAAAAGCAAATACATTGATACGAGAATATATTTTCCTTTCCTACAAGCTGTAAGTTGGAAACTGTACTTGGTTTTATAAAGATCTTCCCTTTTCATATTCCATGACAATTACTCCATATTTACAGGGCTCTTAAACAATGATGGGTACTGACAAAGCATCATAAACAAACCTGTGTTTGTGTTGGTAAATTTTACAGGTAAAATGTGAGGATATATCGTCACTTAAATAACTAGATCACCAGTCTATATTCCAAACTGTTGATAAGTTGATCAAAGTCACCCACGGATAGTACAGGTGATTGTAAAACCGTTTATACGAGTTTCAAATAGTATTTTCCAGACTGGGAGAACACCCAACATCACTATCTTCCTCATTCTTTCCCTGTTAGCGCTTCCTCGTGGCACCCTGAGTTTTAGAGATTATTTGAAATTCCCCGCCACGATCAACAAGCCAATCTGCCGTTTACAGTGGCATCCAATGCGCACTCCAAGGGGCGAACCTCCAGTTATCTCAGGCTTCCACGCGAAAGATAAATGACCAAATAATCGGGCTGCAGAACCTGACATATTCCTTCCCTGTTATCTAAGCAAGGAAAACTAAAGCTCGACAACTGAAAGAACACCCTAATTTTAATTGCGTTTTCCTAAGACCTATATCACTGACATACAATTCATGTATATATAATTCTTCAATTTCATTACCCATTTTTTCGCAAAATAACCGTGCAATACATCTTAATCGTTATGATTTTCAAAAATTATCAACATTAACTGTGTATTTACTACTTCCTTTCTTGTTTACCTTATGATTAAGTTTGTAAACTTTTTCTATTTATTTATAGACATGGGTCTGACACAAATGTCGTTCTTTGTCAGGTGTCATTTTCACTTCCTCATCACCGTTTACCTGAAGAAAACATATAGAAAGGTATTGTCTTCAGGTGGGCCGTGTATGTAATAAGCAGAAAAAAAACTTCCTCTTTCTTCAGCGTCTGAGCAGCTTTTACTTGCAGTTTACCTGTACTTTGCTGGACGTCACTTGTATTGAAGAAATACCAAGGCTGAGTTGAATATGATCGTAAAGGTGCACATTAACTACAGACACATGTTATTAGGGATAGGATTGGTGACCTTTTTTGTTGAAATCGTCGCTAAAAAGGGAGGCCGAACATCTGCAGATTTTGCTGGGGCGTTTACGGGATCTTTGAGTAACAATGAGACTAACAATACATGCAAAAATTACGTCGNATATCTCCAAAACTGGCAAAGATTCACCCATAGGTACTATTGAACGTGAATAGGAAGTCATATAGGCTACTGGCAATTTACTGTGATCCTGAAATTGACCTTTGACCTAATTTTCACCATGAACTAAACTTTGCAAATTTTCCAGGCCTTATATCTCTAAAACTATCAGAGATACGCCCATAGTCACTGTTGTACTTGAGTAGGAAGTCATATACTGGCAATCTTACTGTGACCTTGAAATTGACCTTTGACCTACTTTTCACCATGAATTGAACCTTGCAAATTTTGTCACCCTTATATCTTAGAAAACTGACATAGGTAGGCTCATAGTTGCTGTTGAACTTAAATAGGAAAGCATATACTGGCAATCTAACTGTGGCCTTGAAATTGACCTTTAACTTACTTTTTATGATGAACTGTACTTTGCATGTTTTCTGGTCTTTATATTTCCAAAATTGGCAAAGAAATGCCCATAGTTACTCAGTCTTACACTGTGACCTTGAAATTGACCTTTGACCTTCTTTTTCACCACGAACTAAACTTTGCATATTTTCTTGCCCCTCATATCTTCAAAACTAGAAGAGATATTCCCAGTGTTCCTCTTGGTTTTCTTTTTTAGCAGCAAATATGCAACACTGATAATACATTTCGAGGAAAACCAATAGGTCTTTTGTCTAGAAAATCACAGGAGTGATCAATGTGAGGAAAATACAGGTCAATTCGAAAATTGATAGGACCATTTTTACAGTTGGGTTTTTTTTTCCATTTTTTTTTTATTTTTTTTATTTTGAGAATTCTTGTTTATTGCATTTTATGGAGCTTGTCAAGCACAAGACTGGTAGTGGTGTCCCTTTTTTTTTTCGGTTTTCCATACGAATGAGCTTACTCCAGCTGGTGGTACAATATCCAGAGGCGGTATCGCCTCTCTGATCCTCTAGTTTTAATTGCGTTTGCCTAAGCCTTATATCACTGACAAATATAATTCTTCAATTTCATTACCCATTTTTCGCAAAATAACCGTGCAATACATCTTAATCGTTATGATTTTCAAAAATTATCAACATTAACTGTGTATTTACTACTTCCTTCCTTGTTTACCTTATGATTAAGTTTGTAAACTTTTTCTATTTATTTATAGACATGGGTCTGACACAAATCTCGTTCTTTGTCAGGTGTCATTTTCACTTCCTCATCACCGTTTACCTGAAGAAAACATATAGAAAGGTATTTTCTTCAGGTGGACCGTGTATGTAATAAGTAGAAAAAAACTTCCTCTTTCTTCGGCGTCTGAGCAGCTGTACTTGCAGTTTACCTGTACTTTGCTGGACGTCACTTGTATTGAAGAAATACCAAGGCTGAAATGAATATGATCGTAAAGGTGCACATTAACTACAGACACATGTTATTAGGGATAGCATTGGTGACCTTTTTTGTTGAAATCGTCGCTAAAAAGGGAGGCCGAACATCTGCAGATTTTGCTGGGGCGTTTACGGGATCTTTGAGTAACAATGAGACCAACAATACATGCAAAAATTACGTCGTCGACGCCAGCGGTGACACATTAAATTTCATGGAGGATATCACTTACAAAAAGGTTAGTTACGCTTATCTAAATTTGGACTTCGATGGAATTTTCACGACGCCTGCAATTACAAATCAGTCGATTGTGTACCCGAACGTTTGGATTTGGTGTCAAGAGCATTCTACCCTTCCCTTGTTATATGGACCGTATGATTTCCGTATCCTTTCTGTGGGAACTATGAACTGGTATGTAAAAAGTTACGATATAAAAGTATCTGTGGGGCCGAGCAACTGCAGCATGGACTTTAATAAATTCGACACATTGGTGAAAATAGCATCTTCACTTAGAACAATGGTAAATTTCACGAGAACAAAAACTGGCAAGACATTAAAACTGGATAAACCGAACGCATTTTGTAATTTTGTGAAAATCCCCACACAGACGTCTATAATGGAGTCTTACATGCTAGGCTGGAATCGCTATCGAATGTCCGGATTTCAGTGCTGCGTGGAGAGGCCGACTGGAAAAATAGGAAAGGGAAAACACTTTGAAAAATCGAAGGAAATCTATGACTGTTCAAGAAGAGTTTCAAAAAGTGGTTGGTTGTCATTTATACAAGTTATTTCTTTTATATCGTTCTTATATGCGCCGTTATTACTTCAGTTTTTCCCCGACAGCCAACGCCCATCCACTTTCACACTGCAGACGTCAAGACGCGTACTATCACGAAACAACGGACGTGAGCACGAAAATGGACAGAACTGGTCAGGACTGTGGCTGTCCGATCCCACCACCTACTTCCTAACATATTTCAAACTTACAAACAATGGGCGTCAGCGACAAATATGGCTCTCGCGGGCATGGAGACTCGTGCTGTTTTGGTTTCTCATCCCCAGCATTCTGATACTTCGAATCACTCTGTACTATTATCTCAAAAGAAAAACGCTTGAGAAACGATTACATGCAGGAATACCGATAGGTTTTCTGGCCATACCATTCGGATTCGAACGCAGTCTAGAAAATTGGAAGTACTGGATGGGAGGTCCGTATGTCGTGTTACTGCTATATGCCAGTCTCTCCGTACTGTTTTTCTGCCTCCCAAATATTTCAGACATTCTCATGTGGAACTTTGCTAAGTCTCATCACAGAGCAAAGCGGTATTTTGTTTTCAGTCAATGCTTGACTATGGTCAACGGGTTTGGCTATGTGGACTTCAGCAAGTACTATGGTTTAAAATTTGTAGGTCTCATCATTCTTGGGCGGATCTACGCTATTATCAACCCTGAATTCTGGTTGTACTTCTTGCTAGTATGGAAGCTTCGAATTAAGAGACTAATGCGTTGGGCTTCCAACCCCATTGCATCTGCACCAAAATGGCTCACAACAATTTTATACGTGCCGCTAATTTTCCTTACTATCATCCCAGTAGCCATAGAATTTTTCATCACCGTGGTATACTTTGGTTTACCTTTGCTCTACCTACTGAAAGTTTTGATCTGTTCGTATATAGGTAGAGTTTGGCAATACCTCACCAGTGACAGTAAAACATCAGCGTGTCCCTTCCGCAACGTTTTTGGTGTATTGGCGGCTTTCCTGATAACTATGACTTTACTCGTGTATACTTATATCTTTGGTATGATTTACGTGACCAGCACCTCCTGGATTTTTTTCTTACTGGATCAGACATTTGTCGGCTTGGTAATCTACCCGCACGAGGCTCTGGGTTACGTAAGCGTGGTGTCCTCAGTTGTGTTCTACACTTACCATAGCATCCATGGGTTAGTTACTGGCCACGCAACGTTGTTTGACCTAACGCTACAGGCGTGCAAGAGGATTAAGAGAAATCACAGCACCCAGCATCATGCACAAGACAGTAGGACAAATCCAAATAGGCAGAATAGAATCCAGTCCACATACGGGACTTTCTCTTCTGACTTTGACAACTTAATCCGGAGCAAGGGACGCATCCTTTATATCCCTCAGGAGCTCTTCAAGCGTGTTCTAGGAAAACTTCGTCCACTACGGCGAGAGGTGCTTAAATCTGGGCTAAAGCTGGCTGTAATGATTTTCTTTCTAGTGGTTGTCATTTTGGTCACAAATGACTACAACCGGCAGGAAGAGTTGTATGCAATCCCTCAGTTGATCGGCATAATTGTGGTGGGGACGCTGCCACAGACAATGCAGATTGTCTGCTCGTGTTGTAAAAGCCACGTGAGGAAACTGAAGATGCAACAAAAAGTCGAAGACATTGTTGAAGAATGGTGGGAAATGGAAAAGGTTCGAAGCACAATGACGGAATCAGACTCGGACGATGAAGAGTTGGGGGAAAACGGTCTGCTGCATGGAAGTAAAAGAAGTGTTCGTCTAAGGCTGTATTCCCAGAGCTTTTAGATCGATCTATCGCCGCGGGGAGTCTCACTAGATTACTGTCAGCTTGGCCGGCTTAAGCGTCTGTCCCGCCTACTAAAAGCTGTAAGGGGGTAATTAACTATGGTGTCCGCTCGGCGGACTGCAATTTAGCCTGAACCCCCAGGGAGTTAGGTGGATCTAAAGTAGATCGATCTAATCTCTGGAAATGGGGTCCAAGTTTCCTTTTAGATCGATCGTGAGAGCGTCAAATGCTTTTAATGGATTAGAATTTATATTGTCAAACGAGACTTAAATATTAGGTATTAAAGAGCATCAGTAAAAAAACAAATTGAGAATCTTTAAAATGCATTTGAGGTAAAATTTTTGTCACAAAAAACTGATCAAATGCCACTACAAATTTTCAGATAATATAACTTATAGCGCATTCAGAACAAGTAGATCCGCGGACTATTGGCAGGGCCGTAGCCTGAGCAAAATGCCAGGGGGGGGGGCAGTAAGCGGACACGAGGGGGTGAAGCCCCCGAGGGGGGAGGGGGTGTCCCCCTCCCATGGTGTGGAAAATTTTTAAAAACTGTATGTATTATACTGCATTCTGGTGCATTTTGACTGTTATTTATTGCTCAATCAGACGTCAGAAATTGTGGGTTCATTTTGCCAAGAGTACAGTCATTTTTTCAACACAACACGCCAATTGGACTTCTTTTCGTAGATTGTCTCAGGATCAGGGAGGGAGGGTGAGCTTTTTGGCATGAACTGAGTTGGCTAAAAACAGTACACCTTTGTAAACAGATTGTTGAATGATTGTCTAGTGGCCATGAGTACATTTTCTCACAGAATTGATACCAACTTT